GAACCAATTATGTAGAATGGAGAAAAGGAAGAAGGGAGAAGGGGCGAGGGAAAACTCAATTATGTAGAATGATTCAGAACTGAAGATCTCATTCAAAATTACATCAAAGTCGAGGACAGTATGTAGAAAAGGAAGAAGGGAGAAGGGGTGAGGGAAAACTCAATTATGTAGAATGATTCAAAACTGAAGATCTCATTCAAAATTACATCAAAGTCGAGGACAGTATGTAGAAAAGGAAGAATGGAGAAGGGGCGAGGGAAAACTCAATTATGCAGAATGATTCAAAACTGAAGATCTCATTCAAAATTATATCAAAGTCGAGGACAGTATGTAGAAAAGGAAGAAGGGAGAAGGGGCGAGCGAAAACTCAATTATGTAGAATGATTCAAAACTGAAGATCTCATCCAAAATTACATCAAGTCAAGTTTGGAAGTTAACTGATTCTTCTAATGCTATAAGTTTGGGATACATTAACCAAAGAAAAGAAAGCAAATGACAAGTTTGAAAAGCCAATAATTAGAACCGGAGAAATGCTAAATGTGATCAATCACATGTTTATAGATTGTGTACGTGCACAGATAACACCAATGGTTTGAAACTTTTACGTACATATGACAATATGAAGTGTTCACAAGATCAAAGGGCTATCACCCCCTATCCCACAATCAAAATGAAAGGGCAATGGAAACCACTACTTGTAATACAACAGAAGCAATAGACTAACAGTACTTATCCTGTCCAAACTGAATTCCTCTTTCTATGTTTACTTATCCAGACGTTTCTTTCTTTCTTTATTTTTTTTTTTTTTTGGGAGGGGGTTATCATTGGGCACTCGATGTTCATGAAAAAACATCAAACCATGGACATATTTTCATCCTGCCTATAGTAGGATTCATGTGCTGCCACTTTGGTTAGGTTGCTCCACTTCCTCCACAAACTCCATTGTCATTTTAAGGAAGCTTTTCTTGTGCAACTGTTCCCATTCCTTTCGAAGCATTTTACCGTAAGAACATAAAAGTATGAGGACTAGCTTATACGCAATCTTGGTTAAGAAAAGAAGCTACTGATACAAGATCTCAGATTACCTCAAGGTTCCATTCACCGTACAAATTCGGGTCACTCTGGTCAGCCCAAATATATGCTTCAACCATTAATGTATCGGAACTGTCCTGCAAAAAGCAAAGACACCTATTGTGAACCAGATAAATACATTAAAAATTGGAAAACTGAAATCCATGCGACTCAATAGTGTTGTGTGAGGCCAGAAGTGCCAAAAGTATATCTGACATAGGTGGGAGATCTGGATGAAGCAAACCCACTTCGCGACATTTATGCCAACCATAACATTCTTAATAAGAACTAAAAAGCAATGGCAACGATATCACTATGACTAGCTGATCATCATACCTATGAAGTTGTATCATCGATGGTTAATAAATAGAAGACCTGAAACTCCTACCTCCAAAGCACACTAGATTTCTGCCTCCTAGTCAACCAAGAAACTTTTAGAAACAAAGGTGACACAGGTGAAGGTAGAACTACTCAAAGGGCGATCAAGCACTCTGAGATTTCGAATGGGAAATTATACAATTGTGACTAATAAAAAACGCATGCGATGATCTTTAAGACTTATATCCAAAACAAAAGAAAATGACAGCCTAATTTCGATGAAAACTCTGCAGATCACTACTCGCTGAAGTGCTGGATGAGCACTTCAAGTGAACAGTGACGCTGCAGTAAAGAGCATGTATTTGTTGTAGGTGTTAGGCCCTCAAGCATCTACATTTATCGCCAAAAAGCACCCATCAATTGAAATAGCTTGATTTTTCCATCGAACCCAAAAATTTAGGAGCCATTTGGACAACATTTGGAAAAAGCTTTTTGAGTTTCTTTTTTTTTTTTTTTTGTAAATAGCTTTTTGAGATAGAGAGTTTGAGTATATTTTAAGCTCTACAATAGTCTTGTAATGCTCTGGTGATCTGCCACTGCTATAACAAGAACGCAACTAAAGGACTACAGGAACTCTGGAACTTTGTGTATCAATACCGTCAGGGAAACATCAACAGTTCTCCTTTCATACTCAACGTCTTCAAATTTATCCAAGATATCCAATTCAGGGACAGTGATGCCTGAAAGCACCTGCATTTTGTCAAAACGAACATATCATTCAGAAGATGAGTAAGAGGTAAGATTTTATATTTTTCATTGAGGTCTCAATGACAAGGCATTGCATGCAGTAACTGTTGTTACTTCTAGTTTATAATTGTATAGTACAGGCATTGGTCTGGAGTCCCTGGACCTCTATAATGGAGGTCAGTCATCACATTCACCCACCAAATCTTCAATTTTATGGAATGGACTAGGATGTATAAGCTATACACTGAGTGACCGTAATCAGCAAGCCACTGGGTTCAGGTAATGCTTTTACCCAATGTTATAGGGAGAGGAGAACTAAACCAACAGGCTGGCTATGATTTCACTTTTAACAAGAAAATTATGTCCCATAGTTTATTTCAAAAGTGAATTCGCTTTTGCTAATCTTGGATTTCCACAATCAATCAATTCACTTATGTTAACCTCGCTTGAAAATATTACAAGTATCAAACCATGATGCACCCAGCTTATGTCTGGAGACTTTGTAGTTTGTAATAGAGGCAGAAGTCCCTGGGCATTTAAAATGTGGAGATGACCAATATGTTCACTGAAAAAAGTAAATTTTGCAGCAAAAATCACATGATAACAGTAATTTTTGCAATTCATTCATCAGATTATGTTCACATGATAGCTGAATAGCTAAGATGCTTGGAGGTAACCTTTAGAAGATAATTCAGTGATTTAGCATGTCTGGAACAGCTAGTACATATGACACTGTACGTATCAATAAGCATAGCCAATTCTCTAGGGTAATAAGTGGGAAATGTCAAACAAACCTTGCCATTAACTTTCTTGTTTTCTACGGGTAGAATGGCAGGATAAACACACCCTTTGATGCTAAACCTATGGCTGAAGCAAAGCAACAGAATCAGTTCCTACAAGATATTAGAAAAATCTATCACTCTATTACTTAAAGAAACAACGAATGCAACGAGCAAATAGGACAATAACATATATACACAAAAAATTAAATTGAAAAACCCAAAATCTCATTAACTAGTACTTGAAAAGCTACACTGTAAGTATTTACGAACTCCCAGAAAAGAACAAAAAGACGTATATATGTAATAATGGTTGAAACAACTATATGACATTTTCAAGAATCACAACTAGTAGTGGCAAAATTGTTTAAAGAAAACAGTTAACCACCCATATTATCCACTAAAAAATGGGTTGGATAATGAACTTTTTTATAGCGGGTCAAATACGTATAAGAACCATATTATCCATATAGAAAATGGATAACCAATGAGTAACAAATGGACAACCAATGAGTTTAACTTTTACATTTGTAAAGCCTCAAATTGGGGGTTCTCCAAGTTTGGGAGATAGAGTAATTCTCCCAAATCATATCCAAGAAGTCATGAATAATATGGGTAACTATATTATCCACAGTTTAACCCGTTTTTTTCCGTATTAAATATGATTCGGGTCGGATAATTTATCCATTTCATATCCAACCAGACCCGTCCGTTTCTCACTCCTAATCACAACTAAGAAGGAATGTCGAAGCACCTCTATGTTAAAGTACAACATTTTTTACAGAATACAAAGCATAAAATTAGTTGAAACTCTGATTATGAGACAGATGAAATTAACATTAAAATCACAATCTTCTACTTAATTCATCTAAAAACTAGCACTATACTCAAGCATATAAGAAACTCCAACACATACTATTAGGTTTTAATTTCTTAAGAAAAGCTAATCCCATATATCCACTGAAAAACAATTTCAGCATCAATTTTACACACATAAGCTAAAAGGGTATTAAAAAAAGGCGACATGCCACATCTATCGATGGTATTAGAACACTAACAAGTTGTAGAGAATGGCAGGCGAAGAAGGTGGGACCCGTTTGAGGAGGGCACGAACGACGTCGTCAGCTAAAAGGCTGCCGTAGACGAAAACATTGAAAAGTGATGGAGGACTACTGGCAGACGCCATTTAGCGGCTCCTCTCCACTACTTTCCAGGCAAAATCAAATGGTATGTTTGATTTCAAACTATGTACGCCTTACGCATTGGTGGGTTTAGAGTTCTGATTCCCCACAATGTTTGACTTTGCTTTTTGCGTCTATAAAGTAAGATATTTGGTTTTTTGTTTTCTTTTTCTTTCTGGCTTCTGGGTAGGGGTCGGCATTCGGTACTTCGGTTCGGTATTTAATAATTTCGGTTTGGTATTTCGGTATTCGGTTTATCAATTGTGTATACCAAATACCATACCAAAATATTTCGGTACGGTTCGGTTTTTTTTATTTTGGTTCGATACGGTTTCGGTACGGTTTCGGTTTAATAATCGCTAAATAATCAATGCTAGCTAACGCCTAACAGTGCACATGTACAATTGAAAGTTTCACTTGTAAAGTAATAAAACTAATAACTAATACAAAGTACAACTGTACAAACTAATAACAATTGAAAGGTTCGGGGCAGTGCACAAGCACAACTGTGGACTAGATCAAAGTAACATGAGAATCCCAAGAAGTTAAACTACTACTAAAGCTCAATTATAGAAGTTCTCAAAAGCAAAAATCAACTCAAAGTTTCCTTCACTCACTGACATGTTACTCAGCTTCGAAACTTTCTTTCCCTTTACACCAGTAGAAGTTTCAAAAAAATTCCAGATTTTTGTATCTTTTATTGACAGACATCTAATAAATAAGGATTAGATCACAACCTAGACAAAGGAAGAGCATTGAACCGCCCCTCAGTGTTTAGGCACATTCACAAATTAACAACTACAAAGTACATTCACTATTAAAGACTTAAAGTAATAAACTAATAACAGAACAGTGGGGCAGAGGCAGTGCACTGCACATTCAGTCTTTCAAACAATACATATTTCTAATTGAAACAACGTTTGGTAAAGAACTTAACAGATGCAACAGCAACACTGTTGCAGCAACAGTCAACAGTCAGCAAAAAGCCAAAAACACCAGTGAACTGTACAGTGAACAAAAACGCCAGTGCACTGTACACAACTCCAAAGTTTGCCAAATTCTGCCCAACTCCAAATTGCATCTGTACACAACTACACATTATAGACTTGACCACAATGCTTGAACCTAAAAAAAATATAAATCATAAGTTAGAATATAATATTTTGATGATAACAAAACAAAACTACAAAAGTATTAAGTATATCACCAAACAAATAGAGTATTAAACTTACCACTCAAGATGCAAGCTGCAACTATACATCAAACAATGCTAGTAGTGCTTCCATTATTTTCCATATCTATAGATAATTCGACCAAATATGTCATACAAATGAAAAAGCATGATATATTATTTTGAACTAAAATACACGCAAAATATTAAAGCTTACCAAGCTCGAGTTCCTCAAGATACTTCAAGTCTTCTTCAACACTAATAGGATTGTTTTCTTCTCTAAGCCAATCTTGAACACAAATAAGAGCTTGCACACATTTAGGAGTCAATGAACTCCTAAATGAATCAAGAATACGGCCACCGGTGCTAAATGCGCATTCCGACGCCACACTATAAATTGGAATGGCCAACACATCACGAGCCAACTCCGAAAGAATAGGAAATCTAGGAGCATGTGTTTTCCACCAACTCAAGATATCAAAGTCTTCACTAAAAGGTTCTTGTTCTTCACTAATGTATTTATCCAACTCCGATTTAGCACCCGCACCCCCATTGTCTTCCTTTTGTTTCTTCAAGCTAAGCTTAGTCCTTATTTTTGATGCACTTATAACACTCCCACTAGATGTATTAGACGTGTTTCTAGATAAAGTAGATCTACATGGAGATTGAGGACAAGATCCAGTTGAATATTTTTTTAGATACTCTCCAAACAAAGAATTCATATAAGCATACACCTCAGCATTTATTTTCTTTCCTTTTTCCTCCCCAAAAAGTTCTTCAAGTGCTCCCTCAACATATTCAAATTTGTTACGTGGATCCAACACAGAAGCAATAAAAATCATTTTATTCATCTTTTCAAGCTCACCCCAATACTTCTTGAACTTTTCTTGCATTCGCTCAGCCATTTTTCTCAAATGCTCATCCTCACTAGCTAAACACATTTTCAAATGACAATAAAGTTCAGATACATCCTCAAAATGAGAATTACAAGTGACATAACGTGAACCTGAAACTTTTTTAGTTAGCTCGTGAAATCTTGCAAGAAACTCTATCACATTCCTCACATTCACCCAATCATCAGAATCAAGAGGACCTGCACTACTACCATCTTCACAAACATGAGAACATTGATAAACAGAAAATCCATCATCATAAAGATGAAACTTGTCAAAGGCCATTTCAAATTTTTGTGCCGTGTCCAACATCAAATAGGTGGAATTCCACCTAGTAGGAACATCCAAACACAATGTTTTGGTACATTCTACCTTTACATGTGCACAACACTGTTTAAACTTTAAGGTCCTTGCAGGCGAAGATCTCACATACCTCACAACATTTCTAACACGTGTCACAGAAGCATCAAGTTCTTTCAAACCATCTTGCACAATTAGATTTAGTATATGAGCCATGCATCTCACATGAAAATGCTTACCACTCATCATATTAGTTTTTCACATATCTAACTGTTTAGACAATTCTTTAACTGTGACATCATTTGAAGAAGCATTGTCCACGGTAATAGTGAAAACCTTGTCTAAAGCCTTGTTTCACTGTGAACTTCATAACAATCCCTTGTTATTGTTCTACGAGAAGGAAGACGAAATAATGATTGAGTTTTTCTCATAAACTTCATAAAGCCTTCATTTTCTACAAAGCTAAATGGTAGTTCATCAATAACTATCATCTCAATTAAGGCCCTCCTAACAACTTCTTGTTCAAATTTCCAAATTGATCCTTCGTCATTTTGGCAAGATTGAAAATTTATCTTTGTTTGACCATTATCTTTATCAATGTTAAGTGGGTATTCTTTGCATCTAAGCAAATGATTCTTCAATCCTGTTGTTCCATTCCTAGATGAATTAGCCGCATAGGCTTGTTTACAATATCAACATCGTGCTTTCCCAACCCCATTAACCTCAAATTTATCAAAATGGTTCCAAACGTCAGACCTAGGTTGCATGGCTTTCCTTTTTCTGGAATCTTGGGTATCAATGGTGTTGGTGTTACCATCTACCGTAATAGGTAAACTTTCACTTGAACCAGCATCACTTACTCTACTTGTATCTGCCATCTATACAAAATTAAACAAATATAAACACAAATTAACAATCATGGGGTACAATCATAGGGGAGCAGACTTAACAAGAAAGCCAAACATTCACATTTCTTCCAGATTCGACAACCTTGTTTTATGAACCAAGAGAATGAAAACAAAAAAGCAGAATAAGTTTTCTTGCATAAACCTTCAAGAGGTCCTGCAAAATAACTGGAGTTCAAAAGGCTCATACGTACAAGGATGTAAAAACTCGAGAGCAATACAATCAATGACTTTCAACAATAACAGAAATATAAAAAGGAAATGATAATGCAGGGAGATTAATGAACCCACATCAGCTAAAGCATCACTCTCAGGATGCATTACAATGTTCAATATTACAAAACATTTCTGGTGGAGGACAAACACGAAAAAAAGCTCTAGGTTTGCTCCTGATTGAACCTGATTTAGAAGATCTAAAGTCAGAAATTGTATCACAAAAATTGCTTTTGAGCAGATTAAATAGTACTGCTTCTGTGGCTTCGATAATCCTAAAGCATTTACAAACATTCTCAACACAAATGATTTCACAGTCCTAATTTGGTATCGCTAGAAAGTAGAAATCGCTAGAAAGTAGAAACATACCTTTGAAAATTGAAGACTGGGGAGTGAGGAGTCGGAGCTGCGAAGTGCGAAGTCGGAAATCCCCCCAAAATCCAAATCGCCGACGCCAAATCGTAGTCGGAGCTGCTGAGCTTGGGCGAATTATCGTCCACTTTCTCTCTCTGAGCTTGAAATTATCGTCTATACTCTATACAAATGCCCTAACTCTAACTAGTAACTATTAACCAGCTACTAAAGATGGGTGGGCTTGGGGCTGGGCTAGAAATAAAATAAAGAAGGGTGGGTGGGCCGCTTGGGCGTTGGGCTGGGGATGGGCAGTGGCCTATTTAAAATTCGGTATTTCGGTTATACCGAAATTTCAGATTTCTAAAACCGAGTACCGAACCGAAATACCGAAAATTTAGTACCGAATTAGACCGAAATACCGAAAAAACCGAAACCAAAATACCGAAATAATTCGGTCCGGTTCGGAATTCGGTTTTTCGGATTTTATGCCCACCCCTACTTCTGGGGCAGGGGGCTTGGGTGACAGTTGGAAGTACTCTTGCTACGGTATTTACCACTTTTATTTAGTTTTCTCCTTAAACTTTACGTCATCTATAATACCCACCTAAACTTAAAAATTAATAGCCTCGTCCTTCCTTGTAGGGATGTGCACGGATCGGATCAGATTTAGCACATTTCGGATTCGAATTTCGGATTCTAGAAAATATAATCCGAATCCGATCCGAATTATATCGGATCGGATCTTAAAGTTTGGATCGGATTTCGGATTGTATTATTATGCCTCAAAGTTAAACTAATATGTATATTTTCTTTGTAAAAGAGGCATTAAATTATGAAAAATTCATGTTTATGCAATTATGAGAGTACTATGGTGCCAATATAGCTAAATCTAGCAATTGTAAAGGTAATAACTTGGAGGTTGATGTAAAGAAAGTACTGGCTATCCGAAATTAAAGTGTAGTATTTATACATGCCCTAATAATTTCGGATTTCGGATCGGATCGGATTAAAATATTCCAATCTGAATCCGATCCGAAATCCGAAATTTTAATAAACAGAATCCGAAATCCGATCCAATCCGAAATCCAAAATCCGAAATTGAATGGATCGGTTCGGATTTCGGATATCCGATCCGAATGAACAGGCCTACTTCCTTGATGTTGATGTTACAAAAAAACATGAACACACTCTCTTTTATATGCCTAGGCGAGAAGAAAAATTAAAATAATCAGCTTCCAAGTGTGGTATATTTTGAAGAGCTAATTCCTTCAAACTCGCCTAAACTATACGATCTTTATCAGTTTACTACCTAAATTATCGAGTGTCCCCGAAAATCCCCTGAACTATATCCCCCTTCATAATAAAACCCCCTCGTTTCATTCTTACTAGTACGTATGATACACGATCTAAATAAATTATAAAAACTGCCATGTGGCATGCTACGTGGATAATTAATCTAATTAATCTTAAAACGGATTTAATTAGCCTACAATAATTTAATTACGTTGTAATTTATTTTGAGTGAGTTTTACTCTTTCTATTCAGTAAGTCGGTCATTTACTCTCAAAAAAATGTCTCTCATCAGAGAAGAACTCTCATCGGACCTTCAATTTCTCTTCTTTGAAATTAGGGTTTACGAATATCTTCCTTCGATTGTTGCTAGTTGCTACCATCGATTTTTCTTCTTATTGTGTTGCTGGAATTTCGAATTGGGATTAAATGTAGGGTTTTGCAAGTGAATCAGAACAAAATTAGGGCTTAGGGTTTTGCTGGTGAAATATCTTCTCCGATTCTTTGAAGATTCTGAAGATTATTAAAGAAGATTGCTTCAATCCTTTGAAGATTCTGGGTTAGCATTTGCCGTTGATGTTCTCAAAGAAGCAGGCTACCCACAACCACAAAACACATTAAACCTCATGGCTCTTCTACAATGGGTGTTCTTCTTTCAAATTAATTTGGGTAACAATGAAGGACGGATAAATTGAGAAAGATAAAAAATAAACTCAATAAACAGAGAGAGAATTTCAAATGGATTAAGATGAAGAAAGAGATAAAAAGGGTGAAGAAATGTGAAGAAATGGAGAAGAAAGGTGAAATAATGGAGAAGATGGTGTAATATAAAGAAAAAGAGGATAAAATATAAGTTTTTTAAATAAATGGGCTAATTAACCGCTATTCAAGCTGTCAGGTGGGCCCCTTTTCATGTTGATTTTCACCGTTCACGCGCTCTTGCGCAACTGATTTCACACAATATGCCACATAAGCGACGGGGGGGGGGGGGGGGGTTATTATGAAGGGGGATATAGTTCAAGGGGTTTTTGGGGACACTCGATAGTTTAGGTAGGAAACGGACAAAGATCGTATAGTTTAGGCGGGTTTGAGGGTATTAGCTCTTTTTTAAATATAAATTGCTACATAATTAAATATAATAATTTATTTGTTCCAATTGTAATTTGTCGCTGTTTCTTTTTAATATACGTTGCATATTTTATCTCAATTATGTTTTTCTAGATACAATGAATATTTTATTTTAACTATTTATTTTCTACCCGGGGGTTAAGGCTATTAAAATGCCAAGTTCAAAGGGGTAATAAAGACCATGTGAACTTTAGAAGAAATTAAACAAAAATTACCAAATTCAGGAGGGTCCCGAACTATTTAGCCTATAAGTTATGCAATGGTTGGTAAGGTAGAAAATGAAATGTAGAGATATGTGACGACCCAAAGGGTCATCACCTGTTTCCTTACCCATTTTGTACTTCCGAGGCCTTGAAAACCTCATTTAGAGTTGCCTCGATTTGCGTGCGCAGTCCGGGCACGTAGCCGGAAAGCTTAAATATGAATTATGTGAGAAAAATGCTAAATTTTGATATTAAAATGAATAAATTTGACTTCGGTCAACATTTTGGGTGAATGGACTTGAACCCGTGATTTGACGGTCCCGGAGGGTCCGTAGGAAAATATGGGACTTGGGCGTATGCCCGGAATCGAATTTCGAGGTCCCAAGACCGAGAAATGAATTTTTGTGTGAAATTGTTTTCTGGAATTAATTAAGGAAATTGGAAATGAAATTTGATTAGAAGACTATGGTATCGGGCCCGTATTTTGGTTCCGGCACCCGGTACAAGTCTTATATATGATTTAAGCACTTTGTGTAAAGTTCGGTTGAAAACGGACGTCGTTTGACGTGTTTCGGACTTAAAATGGAAATTTGATGTGTTATGAAAAAAAATTGGGAAGAAATCATGAATTTTAAGGCTTAATTCAATGAATATGATGTTATTTTGGCGATTTGATCGCACAGATAAGTCCGTAGAATGTTTTTGAGGTTGTGTGTATGTTTGGTTTGGAGCCCCGAGGGCTCGGGTGAGTTTTGGATAGGCCACGAGTGCATTTTTGGAATTTGAAACTCAGTTGTTGCATTTCTGACCTGAAGGCTTCGCAAATGCGATATCGCAAATGCGAATGGCTTCTCGCAATTGCGAAGATAGCCCAGGTCTGCCCCTTCTCGCAAATGCGAGGCTTACCTTCGCAAATGCGAAGGTGTTCCTTTTTGTACTATGTTCGCAAATGCGACCAATGGCTCGCAAATGCGGAAGCTGGGACTTTCGCAAATGCGACCTTTTGTTTCGCAAATGCGAAGTCCCCAATTTTCTTCATGGTTCGCAATGCGAACAAATGTTCGCAATTCCCATTACTGGTCGGGGTTCGTAATTGCAAACCCCAGTTCGCATTTCCCACATC